ATTTATTAGCCGTTAGAACAAAACTTGGTGCAGCGTTGTTTTTAGTTTCTAGTTTCCTTGCTGCGCCGGAGTGGCGAGTAGTCTCTGGAGTTTTTCTTCGACTTGTTGATTGTGTTCCTCGTCTAGGATTTCGGAATCGTCTAGGATAGGGTTTCGGCGAAGAGTTCTGCATTTTGTGTTTTGTCGTAGTGGTAGACTCTCTAGGTCTAGAGGATAAGCCGGAGATTTTCAAAAGGTAGGTGCATGACCGATTTGGTAAACGTTTCCGCATCCGGTCATGGTTTCTTCAACGTACTCGTTCCAGGACCTGTTGTTATAGTTCTGGATGGCGATTTTGAGGGTGGCTTGCTTGGCGTTGACCTTGATGTTCATTTCTCGGGTGAGTTGCCGTCTCCGCTTTACTGGGGGAGCTGACTCGCTTTCTTACCGGGACCTTGTTTGGTTGCCGCGGGTAAGGACCCTTGTAACTGGCCCCTTTCCTCTAGTTCGGTCGGGGTCTGGATACTTCGCTGGAAATGTTATTAGTTTTTTCCAGTTCGTAATCTTCCTGGTACTAGGGGGTATTGTAACGGGCGGATTCGTGTGGAGATCCAATCCTGAACGACGTCGAACTTCCGGAATGGGTGTAGATGAGTGCCCTTTCTTACTGCTCCCTCCTGCAGTCTGACGCTAGGTGGTTAGCACAACGAACGAATCGGGATGCAAAGTCTCAGTTGACGCTAGAGTGGCCGAATCTTTGGCACATGAAACCCTGGGTCACTTATCAAACGTGACTGCAGAGCGCCTATATACGTCTTCCTTTCGCTGTCCTTTCGGTGGTGGCGGTGATGATGGTCGGTAGGTGCTGGGCGTTACGTTGCGCTGAGCGTCCACGCTGGTAGAATTCATCGCTGTGGTGGCGGCGGTAGCGGGTTTGGTGGTGCTTGCCCTTCCTTCGCTCTGAAAAGAGCACGTTTCCGTTACTTCGTGTCTCTTCTGCTCCCAGACTAGTTTAGATACGCAGGTACGGACTACTACCGCCTTCATTGCGGTTTGACTGGGATATCTATTTTTGCCCCATTCTTGCCCATTTCTAAGGCACAGAGGTTTATGGCATAGACCTCTGCTTGAAAGACGGTGACTTCCCTGGCTTGTGCTTTATCGGCATTATGTCCGATGGGGATTCGGCCGCCTTTTTTCTACAATTCTCCTGAAGAACTTCTAGGTGTTGTGATAATCCACCTTAGACCATATAGTACATAGACTGCTAATTGTAACTAAAATATGGTCAAGGACATCGCCTGGGTATGTGAGTTTCAGGGTAAACGAGTCTATCCGAAGTTGTCCGATTAGACACGATTTGAGACTGTCAATAATCTATAAATTAACAAACGTCAATTAATTAATCGTCTAGATATTCCAAAAAAAGCAAACCTATTCTTATTTTTGGACGTATAGAAGATAATCAAGAGTATTTAAAGCTTCCCGTACTACGCGGTTACTATAATAGCTACTCTTTACGTGATGCGAGTGGTGTTTACACAACTTTAGTTTACCCTGAGATTCACATACCCTAAAGTCCCTAGATTGGTAGAGTACCGCAATTGATTTGTCCACTCCTTTGGAGTTAAAATGGCCGCCGATAACATCTGACGGCATCGCGGCATCGTGTTGATATCATAACCACAGATCATAACCTGCTTTCGTTGATATCACTGTTGATATTCATCAATTCGTCATCGTGTTTTCGTGTTTGCCAGAGAGAACGTGTTTCGTGTTATCTTATTTGGTTTAAAAAACTGAAACAATGCCGGGTTGTTGTGTTCCTGGGTGTAACAATCGAAGCGAACGTGGTTACAGGTTATTTAGGTTACCTTGTGTGATAATCTACCCTGGTGGTTAGGCAGCACACATTTACATCCGAAACAAAAATATAATATGCTCTGTATATAACCAACGACCGTTTTGCGCAGATGCCGAATACTAGGGGATTTTGGTAACGAAGCGAGGGGAATGGGAAGAAGATGGCGACGAGGTCGACGGAAGACACACGCTTCCCCGGTTTTTTTTATTATTCTTGATTATTTTTGGTGATGGTGTTTTGAAGCTGTATTTACAGGTAGTAACCATTTTATTCTTTCTTGTACTAGATATTTAATCATTGAATTTCTTGCCACAATGTGATATTTACATTTTGCTGATTTTGCATAAACTACGATATCTGAATCATGGCGTACTCCATGCCTTTGTTTCGTGTACCGTTAGATGAATCATGTTTGTGTAATACTGTACAGATGATTATGCCATTATTTTGTTTAATTAAGTAATTTACTTCTGTTATTCATGAGGAGTTGATTATCGGTGTGATGTTGCTCTGTTCGATTGACCCGTAACAATTCCGTGAGGGAAGCACCTAATACAGTTTGATTGTTCGCTGTATCTGTTACTTTCTGTTTCGTGGCTCGCTACAGTTCTTGTGCGTTAGCTATACGAAGGGGGGCTCTTTTATTTGATGTTTCGATGTTTGTGTGTGCGAGTGGGTCATTCTGTCTCCGTGGAGTAGGTACCTAATGCAGTTAGATCTTTCGCTGTATCTGTTGCTTACTCGTCTCGTGCGGATTGTAGTTCTTAACATCTTAGCAATACGAGTGGGGGCCCTCTCATTTACATTTCCTCTATTTAAAATATGTTCTGTTTGAGCGATAATCGATTTTCACATGAATACTTGCTATTTGACCAATGGCATTCTCACATGTACTTTTCGTGTTAAATTAAATTATGTTAACTGAAGGATGGAGTAGAGCTACACCATTTACATATTTCCTATGTACATGCAATTTGTTTATTTGACGAGCTGTGTTATTTCTATTGATCGTACAGGTATTTTGATGTGTTTTTGTACTGAATTGATTTATCATGTTTTCCACTGCATTTATGATGTCTTGTGTATTTTGTTTTTATGAACTTGTTTAATTGCATTTGATTTGATTATCTGATTTTTATGATACCATTTGAGATGTTTTATTTATGTGTATTTTCTCTTGCATTTTATTGCTGTAGATTATTTATTTCATGTATTTGTGTGGCCTGTGCCAGGGTTTTAGTCCCGGAGAAGGTTTCCCTGGCATGGTCTTGTGTGTGCGTTAATATATTTATTTGATCTTGTCATTTCTTACGCACAAAAGTTCTGTCTTTTATTTAATTCCCTTCCCGATTATGTCTCACGGCCCAACACATAAAAGAACCGATTACACAACGTAGGAGTCCATTCGTGCCATCCATATCGAGCCGACTGTCATCCAAATTCAAAAGTGCCGCGAGACTACCATCGTTTTGATTTGAAAGGTAGGTGGCTCTGCTTGTAGTTTTTGCCAGAGTTGCCAACCGTAAGTATAGGGTAAGTCAACGTCTTCCGTGTCGGCTTGATAGACCCCCCTAGGAACATTACACTTGTGATAAGAATGTCCGTAAAGTAGGTATGTACCTACGAGCAATTATTTTATTTCTAAACAGCTACTTTTCTATGTTTCAATACTAAAACCAGTTATTTGTTCCCAAACAAGCTTTATATCCACAAAACTACATACAACAAAGCTTGGTAAAAGCTTTAATTTTTATTTGCAGTTGTCACTTCAGTCCCGGAAGTACGAAAATAAATTTTTGTAGATTTATCTAGATTAAATGTGACGTCTTTTCAAATTTCCCACCAAAGTGTTGGAGTCAAAATGGCGTCAATTGCGGTACTCTACCAATCTAGGGACTTTAACATACCCACGACTACAGTGCCCTCTATCCGTGACCACCCATTTTGTATTGAAAGCATAGGGATAATAGCAGTCCATGTACTATATGGTCTAAGTAATCCACCCTTATGATTAGGCAACACACCTTTACATCTGAAACAAAAATATGGGCTCTTATTTGATGTTTCGATGTTTGTGTGTGCGAGTGGTTCATTCTGTCTCCGTGGAGTAGGTACCTAATACAGTTCGATCTTTTGCTGTACCTGTTACCTACTCGTCTCGTGTGGATGGCAGTTCTTAGCACCTTAGCAATGCGAGTAGGGGCCCTCTCATTAGCATTTCCTTTATTTAAAATATGTTCTGCTTGAGCGATAATCGATTTTCAAATGAATACTTGCTATTGCAATTTTCACATGTACTTTTCGTCTTAAATTAAATTATGTTAACTGAAGGCTGGAGTAGAGCCACACCATTACATGTTTCCTATGTACATGCAATTTATTATTTTACGAGTTGTGTTAGCTCAATTGATCGTAGGTAGAGGTATTTTGTTGTGTTTTTGTACTGAATTGATTTCATGTTTTCCACTGCACATATGATGTCTTTTGTATTTTGTTTTTATGAACTTGTTTAATTGCATTTGATTTGATAATCTGATTTTTATTGATGTTTTATTTATGTGTATTTTCTCTTGCATTTTATTGCCGTAGGTGATTTATTTCATGTATTTGTGTGGCTTATGCTGGAGTTTTTGTCCCGTAGAAGGTTTCCCTGGTCTTGTTGTGTGCGTAATATATTTATTTGTTTTTGTCATTTCTTACGCATAAGAGTTCGTCTTTTATTTAATTCCCTTCCCGATAATGTCTCACGTCCCAACACATACAAGAACCAGTTACTCAACGTGGCTCTGCTTATAGTTTTTTCCCAGAATTGCCAATGGTAAGTATAGGGTGTCAACGTTTTCGGTGTCGGCTTGATAGACCCCTAGGACCATTATAGGCCTTCCTAAGTGGTTTTGAAAAAATCTAAGCAAGAGATGCTCTGAATGACCCGAAAAGCTGTGAATGGGCTTCGAACGCTCTCCAAAGCTATAGAAAGGAGCCAAAGCTTTAGAGAGTCTTCTAACGAATTTCAGTGCTCACCATGCCAATGCTGTATGTATGTTTCGACTGAAATCCGTAGTGTCTTCTACTGGCCTAAATAAAAAAAAAACATTGTGTATTACAGTTTGTTACAGTACATACTTAGATAATAACACATTATTTAATACTAGCGCAGTATAACATTAAAATGCTGAAACATTATGTTTCAAGAGGTGTATTTTATAAAGTTGCTTATTATTCGTTGCATACTCGCACTCGCCACATTTAAAATCCTTTGTAACTTTATGTATCGACACGTGCGTTTTAAAAAGATGCTTATTATTTGTCGCATAATTGCACTCGTCGCACTTAAAATCTTTCAAAGCCTTATGTGTTAAGAGATGCATTTTAAAGAGTTGCCTATTATTCGACGCATAATCACACTGGTCACATTTAAAATCCTTTGAAGCCTTATGTATTAGCAGGTGTTCTTTTAGATGCGATTTGCTATTCGTTCCGTAATCGCAATGTGCACATTTAAAAATTTTCGTGACTTTGTGTGTTAGCAGGTGTTGGTTTAGGTAACTCTGATCGACTGTGGCGAAATTGCAATAGCTACATAAAAAATCCTTTGTAACTTTGTGTTTTAGAACGTGCCGTTTCAGGTAGTACTTATTTTTCGTTGCATACTCACACCTGTCACATTTAAAATCTTTCGTAGCTTTATGTATTTGGCTGTGTCTTCTGAAAAGGTCTTTAATATTCGTCTCGTAATCACAATCTTTACATTTAAAGTCTTTGGTAGTTTTGTGAGTCAAGCGGTGTGCTTTTAAAGCACGCTTACTACTCGATGCATAATTACACTCGCCACATTTAAAATCCTTCGAAACATTGTGCACGACATAGTGATCTTTAAAAAGCTGTTTGTTATTTGTTGCGTAATCACACTGGTCACATTTAATTTCTTTGGCAACGTTGTGTACCAAGAGATGGTCTTTAAAAAGCCGTTTATTATTCGTCGCGTACTCGCAAGTGTGACATTTAAACTCTTTGGCGGCTTTATGTGTTAGGAGGTGTTCGTTGAAGTGCCCTCTAATATTCGTTGCATAATAACAGTTTGCACATTTATAATCTTTAGCATCTTTGTGTATTAAAAGGTGCCGTTTCAAGTAATACTTATCACCTGTCGCATAATCGCAGTAATCGCATACGAAATCCTTGATAACTTTATGTCGTAACAGGTGTCGATTCAAGGAACGCTGGTTACTTGTTGCGTAATCACAACTCGCACACTTAAACTCCTTAACAACTTTGTGGGTTAGGAGGTGTCGTTTCAGGTAGTACTTATCAACCGTAGCATAACTGCAATGGTCACAAACGAAATCTTTAACGGGCTTATGTTTTACGAGGTGTCGCTTCAAGTAAGACTTACTAATTGCGGCGTATTCACAATGATTACATTTGAAATCTTTCCTACCCTGATGTGTTAGAATATGCCCTTTAAAGAGCTGTGGATTATTCGTCACGTAACCGCAGGTAGCACATTTTAAATCTTTGGCAGCTTGACGCGGTGAAAGGTGTCGTTCAATCACGACAACCTTCGAAGTTTCAGGCTTAATATCTTGTTCGTCGTACACCACGAATTTAGAATATTCGGGGTTCGGCTCATCTTTTACCGTCGTGGAAACTTGATTGCTTAGGATTTCGATACTTGAACTTCCTTCGTCTTCTTGTTTGGGTTCAATTTTGACGACTACAGAGCCACCATTGATCGACATTATTTTAAGGGGGTCCGAATGTATAGCTAGTTGTTGAGTCAATTATTTCACTATAATACAACAACACAAGCACTTCGAGGAATGCTTATTTCGTTACCATTCACAACAACCATCAAGAGAACACTTAAATAATTAAAAGTGAGGTTAAGATCATTGACTGCATTCAAAGAGTGGTTTAGTCTTTAAAGGCCGCTTGACATGGAGCAATACAACGCGCAAGAACTTGCAGAAAGAAATTGCAAGGTCAAATCCTTGCATGCAATAAGCATTGCATGGTTATTTGACATGGTGCAATTCTATTTCAATTGCCACATGTCTGCCAACAGAAGAAACATATGGATTTGTCAACAAAGTAGTTAACCTCAAATGAAAATTAAATTTTGATTGCTTGAAGAAACGTGAAAATTACAAGAATAAATAAGATTAATAAAAACAAGTAATGAGTGCGTCTCTCAGCATCATAGTTGCCGCCGCTGTATTTTACTAGGTTGGTGACACAAAAACAACTAGATTTATCCCTAGAATTGCACGATTCATGCAAGAAAAATAGCACCGGTCCTATAAAAATTGCATGCAAGTCTCTTGCAGCAATTGATCAGCTGGCTTTGAACTGCGCATGCCTTTCGCAATTTTTCTTGCAACTTGCATGCAATTGCAATTTTTATTGCTCCATGTCAAGCGGGCTTAATGGCCACTGCCAATCTCTGATTGGGTAAAATACTAAATTCACCGAGGGTTTTAAAGTTATTAAAAACAGGAACTTTAAGACTCTTGGTAACTTTAGGGCTTTATTGAACCCCCTTAAAGATCTTTAAAAATTCTGCTTATAGACTTAGAAGGTGAGGTGCTACAAGACTTGAAAGTCGTTTATACGTACGTACTCTTAACGGTTCTAGAGGAACCCAATTTAAAGCCTTTAACCTGTTTTAACGACTGCTTTCACGACCTGTAAGTATCAATATGTCTCAAATTTAATATGCTAGGACTGTATAGGCAGATGCATGTGTTGACTTACCATCTAATTGGGGGATACAGTATAAAATAAAACTCATCGCTCCGCCAATGGAAGTGAGACGCTATGAACCATACTTTAAACCGGTGCTTGAGCTACAGCCAGGAGTTTGTGATGGGCGATGACTGGTAAGAGATTTGTGTTGTTTTAAGGCGTATTCGTTTCTGGTGAGTTAGAAATTCACAAAAATCAGTTCACTTAAATCACTAGAAGAAAACAAATTTTGCAATTAGAGAAGGAAAGATTTTGCATGCATTATAACCTAGAAGAAATGGACTGGATTATTAAAAGTTTGTAGCCCTATAATTTAAATATTATGTGGTATCTTGAAGTTTATTTGTATAGGAACCTGATTCAGAAGATAAACATCAGGTACACCTCATAAAACAGTTGTTATAATTCCAGTTTTCTTTTGTTATTTGTTGTTAATTGAAGTGATTTAACTGTATGGTCATTAGGATTTGGTAAACTTTTTTTATATACACATTTCTTGATTACGTTATTGATGTTAGATATGGATGGAAATGATCACGTATCACTAATTAAAATCGAACCAAAACATGAAGAAGAAATCCATTCCGATCTCCAAGGAAATGTTTTAGTAAACAACGAAGCATTGGCTGTAATAAAGGACGAAAATGCAGTTGCTGCACAGTGTTCCAAAGTGCTTGATAATGAAGTAAAACCCCAAACCGATTGTAGATGGAATATTAAAACTGAAATTGCCAACGATTTTGAATGTGACTTCGGTCAACAGACGACAAATAGTAAGCTGCAGGTTTAACAACATATTTTAAAGCATAATGTTTCAGAAGTCTTGAACTGTGTTCATTGTGATTATGGAACAAAGAATAAACAACGGCTTCTACGGCACATTTTAACACACAAACGTAATGCGCTACAATGTGATAATTGTGATTACAAGACAAGTAACAAATACCACTTTGAACGACACCTTTTTAAACATAAAGAATTTAAATGTGCTAATTGTGATTACAAGACAAATAACAAACACTGTCTTAAACAACATCTTTTAAAACATACCGATTCTAAAGATTTTAAATGCACCAATTGCGATTATGAGACAAATAACAAATATCACTTTAAAAGACACTTGTTGAAATATACCGATTTTAAAAATTTTAAGTGTGCTAATTGTGATTACAAGACAAATAACAAATATAACTTTAAACAACACCTTTTAAAACATATCGACTCTAAAGATTTTAAATGTGCTCATTGTGATTACAAGACAAATAACAAATACCACTTTAAGCAACACCTTTTAAGACATAACAATTCTAAAGACTTCAAATGTGCTCATTGTGATTACAAGACCAATAACAAATATCTCTTTAAACAACACCTTTTAAAACATACAGAGTCTAAAGATTTTAAATGTGTTCATTGTGATTACGAAACAAATAATAAACGATATCTTATACAACACTTCTTGAAACATAGCGATTCTAAAGAGTTCAAATGCGTCCATTGTGATTACAAGACGAATAACAAATACCACTTCAAACAACACCTTTTAACACATAATGATTCTAACGTTTTTAAATGTGCTAATTGTGACTACAACACCAGTAACAAGTACTGCTTTAAACAACACATTTTATGTCATAACGATTCTAAAGACCTTAAATGTGCTCATTGTGATTACAGAACAAATCATAAATATTGCTTTAAACGACACCTTTTAAACCATATCGATTCTAAAGAATTTAAATGTGCTAATTGTGGTTACGAGACAAACAACAAATACTGTTTTAAACGACACCTTTTAAAACATACCGATTCTAAAGGTTTTAAATGTGGTAATTGTAATTTCGCAACTAATGACAAATACTACTTTAAGCAACACGTTTTAAATCATACCAGTTCTAAAGATTTTAAATGTGCTTATTGTGGTTACGAGACAAATGAGAAATACCGCTTAAAGCGACATCTTTTAAAACATACAGATTCGAAAGTTTTCAAATGTGCCAATTGTAACTACAAGACTAATCACAAATACCACTTTAAAGAACACATGTTAAAATATACTGATTCGAAAGATTTTAAATGTACCAACTGTAATTACGAGACAAATAACAAACGCTACTTTAAACGCCACCTTTTAAAACATATCGATTCTAAAGATTTTAAATGTGAACAGTGTGATTACAAGACAAATGAAAATTACCGCTTAAAGCGACACCTTATAAAACATACGGCTTCTAAAGATTTTAAATGTGCAAATTGTGAATACCAAACAAGTAACAAATACTACTTTAAGCAACACGTTTTAAATCATACCAATTCTAAGGATTTTAAATGTGCTCATTGTGATTATATAACAAATAATAAACTACATCTTAAAGGACACCTTTTAATACATACCGATTCTAACTATTTTAAATGTGCTAATTGTAATTACCAGACAAATAACAAATACTCCTTAAATCGACACGTTTTAAGACATACCGATTCTAAAAGTTTTAAATGTGCTACTTGTCATTACAAAACAAATGAGAAATATCGCTTAAGACGACACCTTTTAAAACATAAAGTTTCTAAAGATTTTAAGTGTGCGCATTGCGATTATGAGACACATATCAAATGCTGTCTTAAACAACACCTTTTAAGGCACACAAACTGTTTTGACAAGGACCAGAAATTGCTAACTTAAGTTAATGACATTTAAAATGGTCCCTAAATGTTTGTGGATGTGGAAACATTAACTACAGATCTCTGAGCAAGACATAAAGATAGAGATCAATATTAAAGGCAGCAAATTTGGCACATATTACTAGATGCAGTCGGCGGTACTTAGATCCCTGATTTTTAGATATCTACATGAATTTCTAAACAATTTTAGCTGGGAATTAAAACAGCTTAATAAGGAAGGTTATTGTTCAGAGCTTTTATTTAAAAGCGACTTCTCAATATTTTTCTTGTTTAAAACGTATTCAAATGTTGAAACATTGCACCACTTTTAGAATATGTATAAAAGTTATCTATTTACCCTCTTGCTTCAAGATTATATTTTTCTTCTCCAACTTTTAGCTGTTAGAGGACTCGAATTAGAAATAGGCATTTGCTTAGTTGTGGAAATTCATGTCTAAAATTAAGAATGAATAAATTAATCCAATCGTGCTATTCTTTTGTTTTTAAATTTAAGCGGGAACTGTTTTGATTTCGAGATTTTAAAGATGCCACTCTGTCTTCAAATCTGTCATGTTTAGTTTGCCTTGATGCAAAATGGGTCGTACTTGCGTCGTACCTTACCGATGTTTTTACGTGCCGACGCCACGCCAGCATATGTGACGTCTTCCAATTACAGAATAAACCCAAGAGGGCGCCATGCAAGCAGAATTTCCTAAATTTGTAATAAACAGAGTTGAGTTTCTATTTTGAAGGCAAGTTATCCTACCAGCGCCATCTAGTGAGGACTCAAATAAAATTAGAATAAGTAAAAATGTAACGTTAATAAAATTCTATTTATTTTGAAGAATTGTATGCGTTTCACTATAAAATAAAAGCCATCATTGCCACTGTAAATGATATGTAAGTAATCAACCTGAAGCTGCCTCTTACCGGTACTTGAGCTACAGCCAGAGCTTTTTGTACGTCAGCCGGTCAGCGTCAGCTCGTATAAAAACAGTGCCCATGCCCAGTCAGCTCCGAACCAGCTGACAGTGAAACGAAATTTGTATTGTGTAATTAATACCAAATCTATTTTTTATAAACAAAAACGTAATTGTTAATGATAACGTTATTGAAACTAGATATGGACAGAAAAGAGGTCGTACCACTCGTTAAAATTGAACCAAAACAAGAAGAAGCAATCGATTACGATCTTCAAGGAAACCTTTTAGTAAAGAACGAAGCATTGGTTACAATAAAGGACGAAAATACAACTATTGCACAGTGCTCCAAATTTCTCGGCGATAATGAAGAAGTACGTCAACAAAGTGATTGTGGATGGAATATTAAAACTCAAATTTCCGACGATTCTGACTGCGACTTCGGTCAACACTCAACAAATAGTAAGCTGCAAGTTAAACATCTTTTACAGCAAAATGTTTCAGAAGACCTTAATTGTGCGCAATGTGATTACAAGACAAATAGTAAATCCTACTTTAAACGTCACCTTTTGAAACATAAGGATTTGAATTGTGCTAATTGTGATTACAAGACTAATAACAAATACTGCTTAAAACGACACCTTTTAAGACATATCGATTCTAAAGTTTTGAAATGTGCTAATTGTGATTATGGAACAAATAATGAACAATATTTTAAACGGCACCTTTTAAAACATATAGATTTTAAAGCTTTTAATTGTACTAATTGTGATTACAAGACAAATGAGAAATACCGGTTAAACCTACACCTTTTAAAACATTCCGATTCTAAAGATTTGAAATGTGCTCAATGTGAATATAGAACAAATCATAAACAATCTCTTAAACGACACCTTTTAAAACATGTTGATTCTAAAGCTTTTAAATGTACCAGTTGTGATTACAAGACAAATGAGAAATATCGCTTAAACCTACACGTTATAAAACATACCGATTCTAAAGATTTGAAATGTGCTCAATGTGATTATCGAACAAATCTTAAACAATGTCTTGAACGACACCTTTTAAAACATATTGATGCCAAACATTTTAAATGTGCTGATTGTGATTACGAGACAAATGATAAATATTGCTTTAAACGACACCTTTTAAAACATACCGATTCTAAAGATTTTAAATGTGTTAATTGTGATTACAAGACAAATGATAAATACCACTTTAAAGAACACCTTTTAACACATAAAGTTTCTAAAGATTTTAAATGTGCCAATTGTGATTACGAGACAAACAACAAACGCTACTTTAAACAACACGTTTTAAATCATGCCGATGCCAAGGATTTTAAATGTGCTCATTGTGATTACGAGACAAATAACAAACGGTACTTTGAACAACACGTTAAAAATCATGCCGATTCTAAAGTTTTCAAATGTCCTCATTGTGATTATGGAACAAATCATGAGCAATCTCTTAAACGACACATTTTAAAACATATCGATTCTAAAGACTTTAAATGTGCTAATTGTGATTACAAGACTCATGATAAATACTGCCTTAAACGACACCTTTTAAAACATATTGATTCTAAGGATTTCAAATGTGTCCAGTGCGATTATAGAACAAATCATAAACAATGTCTTAAACGACACCTTTTAAAACACATGGATTCTAAAGCCTTTAAATGTACTAATTGTGAGTACAAGACAAATAACAAATACCACTTAAACCTACACCTTTTAAAACACACTAATTCTAAAGGTTTCAAATGTGCTCAATGTGATTATAGAACAAATCAAAAACAATGTCTTAAACGACACCTTTTAAAGCATGTTGATTCTAAACATTTTAAATGTACCAATTGTGATTACGAGACAAATGATAAATACTGCTTTAAACGACACCTTTTAAAACATACCAATTGTAAAGATTTTAAATGTGTTAATTGTGATTACGAGACAAATAACAAATATCACTTTAAAAGACACCTTTTAACACATAAAAGTGTCTAAAACTGTTAATTGTGATTACGAGAAAAGTGACAAACTCTGTTTTAAAACTAACTTTCTTAAAATTTTAAATGTGATCATTGCGATTATGTCTTCATTTTTAGTGTGTGACTTCATGCGAGGAAGGTGTATGCGTCCCAACTTGCGTTATTAACATTTAAAATATTGGCTAAACGTTTGTGAATGTGGAAACATTTAAGTATCAATTATTTGAGAGCAGGACATAAAGAGTGTCAGCATCTTTTTGTTTATAGATATAGGAGTCTTATTTCATGAGATCTAACATAACGTTGCAAAAAACACCGCTAGTAACCCTCGGTTTATAGTTATAATATGCACACCCATAGAATGGCACCTTAAAGGCCACAATATTCTCTTTACAAAAATACCCACAAAATCAAATATGGATAGTCTGCTTATAAATTAATTTTAGTAAACTAAGTCAAATACAAAATAAATGAATTTTACACATTTCACGTTTTTATTGCTTGTTATTTCCTGAAAATAAGTACTATAAAATGCATTGTTAATTAGCCGGACCTCCCCCAATCCGGAATGTATCTGAAGGTCCCGGATACGGTAACCTTAGGCTAAAGTTGTAGTTCGAGATAAATTCCGCTAAGTATCTATATCACTTCCGCATATACCTCTGCAAGAGTGAAAAGGTTAATTACACAAAAAAGGCAGATTCGTACACAAAGAATTGAAGTCGCTAATCAATCCAAATGAAAATTAATCACTGGCCAATCTGTACATACACATACAAAGTGACCTCAAAAACACAAAATGAAACTTAGCAAAGTTAATTGTACACACCATTTCTTTGCTATACAGACTAACATTGTTTGAATGACATCGAAATTAAAAACCCCAATGCGAATACTTTCGAACGGTGTCTTTATATATGCTAACGGTACTTGCCGTTTGAACGGTGTCTCTATATACGCCAATGGTACTAGTCGTTTGAAATTTGAATCTCACGCTGATGTCACATGAGTCTTATCGACTCTGTTCAAAAACATCAGAAACAATAGGCGCTTTCTTTCGGTGATCCAAACGCGTTTGGATTGTCAAATCACGTTCTTTCGAAGTGTGATCTTATGATCATGATTGCTAAAATCGAGAACAAACTGAACATAAAAGTTTTATGATCACGAATTCCTAACCTATAAATGCAAGGATATTTTTGCTCAAATGTTAGGTTAGTCCATATTTATAACTGAAGAGGAGCATAATCGCGTAAGTACTTCCACTTGAATATAAATTATTTTCATAATCCAAACAAAAAATACGTAATTCGAATGCAAATGTGTACAACGTAAACTTAACCATACTTTGATTTAAATTCGCGCGTTCTTTCGTAAAACGTGATCCTACGGATCACGATTTTGAAATCATGATTGCAAAGTAGCCGAAAGAAAGCGCCTAATCCAACACTCAAAACATGGAATGTACACGATTTGCGCAAACAGAATACAAACCTCGACACGATCAATTAACTAATAATAACAGATACCATACCATACTGCCGGCACATTCCACAGATAATACTTGGGATAGAACACTGAGCGGTCCCAATCCCTTCAACTGCCCTGTATACTTACGGTCGAACGCAAACATTAGGAGAATCTAGGGACATTAGCCACCGTCACCATTTGTTTATTGATTTTTGCTATCAATTTTGCGAGCTGCTTTTGGCGATGTAAACCAGTAATAACCAGCACATTCTCGCGGAAAATCATAACATCATGAAAGAAACGCGTTTAACTGTTATGATATGTTACATTCGCTGTCATTTGAAGTTAACACCGAATAAAATATGCAGAATTTCCTTTTTTTGATAGAATTATCGAAATATCCCGGAGGGCGTTGATGAACATTTAACCCAAGGTTACAAACTCGTACGTCGAACAGGAATCGTAGGTACAGTAACAACGTATTCCAAACTCCGCTGACTCGTTAACGTTGAACTCGAACTAAAACCCTAAAAGAAATCAAAGGTAACCCCCCCTTCGCTGATGACACGAACAAAATTACATACCTCTTAAATAAAGGGCTAACTGTAGATGTAGTAGAAATTGTCGACGGAAATTGTAGTACAACAAATGACAGCCGAACCTAGAGGGTTAACAAAAGGGTTCTCTAAATAAACGAAATGCACATGGCGGTACTTACGATAAATAGAAAAGAGCACAATGTAAATCCTCACTAGAGTATAGGTACATTTCGTCCACATACATGGATGATGGCAATTAAAATTCCAGGCGTTCTAACTCGCTCTTTCAGCTGTTTATCGTAAACGAAGTGTATCTCGATACGGCTTACGAAAGATAAGGAGATGTACATAGACACGCACGGATCAAGGCAAGAAAATTTTTGCGTCAAGCAATTGTATTGATAAATTCCAACAATAGGTGGAGCCATTTATAGAACCGCTTCAAAAGTTACCAGGATTTTTCAACCAGAAATAAACAGTCAACAATGGAAAAAATAAATCGTTACAAACTGTCAATATATAATTATGCGTAAATGAAAAAATTAATTTACCTTTAAATGGACATGCGTGTTCGCAACTAAGCAAATGTCTACTTCTAACTTCTAACAGGGAAAAATAGGAGAAAATTTAAAAATCTTAATAATTTATAATAGATAATAATAATAATAGTCATTTATTGGATAACGTACAAAAGAAACAATGCATAATTCTAGTGAATATTAAACTAAATTTATTACGTTATTCCAAAAGAGCGAAGTTCAGATGTGTAGCAAACTACAATCTGTTCTACCACTTAACCCTATTAATAATTTATTGTGATGTCAGATAATGGCAAATAATTATTCAACATTCACATCATTACATCACATTCAACATTAGGTACTTTTATGTTATGTATTGCTCGGAGATAATCAACACTTAATAAATATTCCACATCCACAAACATTATTATTAACATATGTTAGAACACGTAGATCTACCTCTCATGAAGCCACACGATTAAGAAACAATATTTAAGTTCATGAGAAATTTGTTCCTTGTAAAAACGGTTTGTGTGCCTTAAAAGGTTTGACTTATAATCGCAATGAACACATTTAAAATATTTCAAAACTTATGTGTTCTTTAAAGCGGTTTTTATCTTTTGTCTTGTAATCACAATTAACATCTTTAGCTATGTGTTAAAAAGTGTCGATGAAGGTTCCTTTTGTAATTTGTCTCGAATTTACATTTAGCACATTTAAAATCTTTAGAATGGACATGATTTAAAATGTGTTTAGAATCGGTATGTTTTAATACGTGTCGTTTAAAGTGGAAATTGCTAGTTGTCTTATAATCACAAATAGCACATTTAAAATTTTTAGAATCGATATGTTTTAAAAGGTGTCGATTAAAGTAGCGTTTGTTATTAGTATCGTAATTACAATTAGGACATTTAAAAACTGTAGAGTTGGTATGATTTAAAACATGTAGTTTAAAGTAGTACTTGTTACTTGTTTTGTAATCACAATGAGCACATTTAAAATTGTTTGGATTGGTATGATTTAAAACGTGTTGCTTGAAGTAGTATTTGTGACTTGTCTCATAATCACAATGAGCACATTTAAAGTCTTTAGAATCGGAATGATTTAAAACGTGTTTAAAGTAGCACTTGTTACTTGTCTTGTAATTACAATGGGCACATTTAAAACGTGTTGAATTGGTATGTTTTAAAACGTGTTGCTTAAGGGAGTGTTTGTAACTTGTCTCGTAATCACAATGAGCACATTTAAAATCTTTAGAAACTTTATGGGTTAAAAGGTGTCGTTTAATGTTCTTCTTGTTGTTTGTTTTGTAATCACAATTAGCACATTTAAGATCTTTAGAAACTTTATGTGTTAAAATGTGTTGTTTAAAGCAGTATTTGTTATTGGTCTCGTAATCGCAATTAGCACATTTAAGATCTTTAGCAACTTTATGTACTAAAAGGTGTTGTTTAAAGCAATATTTTTTATTTGTCTTGTAATCACAATTAGCACATTTAAAATCTCTAGAGCCAGTATGATTTAAACGGTGTCGGTTAAATTTGGTTTTGTAAATTGTTTCATAATTACAATGGGCACATTTTAAAACTTTAGAGTTTGCATGATTTAAAAGGTGTCTTTTAAGGCTGGATCTGTACTTTGTCTCGTAATCACAATTAGCGCATTTAAAATCTTTAGAAACTTTATGTGTTAAAAAGTGTTGTTTAAAGTGGTATTTGTTACTTGTCTCGTAATCACAATTGACACATTTAAAATCTTTAGAATCGGTATGTATTAAAAGGTGTCGTTTAAGATATCCTTCATTGTGTGTTCCATAATCGCAATGAGCGCATTTAAAAAGTTTAGAATCAATATGTTTTAAAAGGTGTTGTTTAAGAGATCGTTTATTCTTTGCGCTATAATTACAATGAGCACAGTTAAACCCTTCTGAAACATTTTGCTTTAAACGACGTTGTTTAATTTGCCGCTTACTATGTGTTGTGTGTTGTCCGAAGTCACATTTGAAGTCGTTGGAAATTTGAGTTTTAATATTTTCTTCACAATCAGTTTGTTGTTGTACCCCTTCATGATCGAGCGATTTGAAGCACTGTGCGGTAATCGTAATTTCTTCTTCCTTTATTGTAACCAATGCTTCGTTACTTACTAAAATGTTTTCTTGAAAATTGGAATGGAGTTCTTCTTCTTGTTTTGGTTCGATTTTAATGAGTGCCATGACATCATTTCCCTCCATGTCTAGCATCAACAATATTATCAAGAAAAATGTTCCAATTACGTTTTTGTTTATCAAAAATAAAGACAAACTTTAGATATTTTAAACAATACAAATACCTTACCAGCAACAGTCTATTTATAGCTCTTGATAGAACATAGAAGGCAAATTTGCTGCCCTCTGTCGAGCTGAGATCGAATTTTATACGATTTACGTTTTCCACTTGTTCAGTACCCTAACCTCTATTTATGTGGTGTGTAATGATCTTAAGGGGCCAACTAACTTCACTCCCGAACACTAAATTCAAATACGGCGGGAAAATACTAACAGGATATGGCAACCATGTCCAGCCTTCTCCTCTGCCGGAACAAGTGGCTCGTGATCGGATCGCCTAGGACAGAGACCCTACATTTTACTCACCGTCAAGTTGTAACCGTTACACTCGGAATGGGAGTTGCTATCGGGAAGGAAAAGAAACAGTCAAATGCGGCCTAAAGTATTTATTGCTACCCAAACGGATTCCCTAATAATTTGGAAATGCAGAAGTCCCTAACGAGTAGGCCTGTGCGAGGGAAGACCTCTGCCAGAGAAACCCTCGACTCGTGTTCGTAGAAGCTAAAGGGGTTGACGTTAATAAACAAGCTACCACTGGGTTTCCTGAAATATAATACAATACTCTTAACAGTACTTGGTAAATAGTAGTTATTGGTTAGTTTGGTTGCGTTCGTAGATTTTGTTTTTGATGTTAAGTATCCAGCCTTTGTCATAAAGGTATGGCCATCTCAAGTTTATAAGTCTCTCTCTGTAGTTTAAACTGTTGTATGGTTCCATTGCCAAAATCGACCTTAAGGTTGTTGAATTGTTGCATTTGGTGCACATGTTTACTATAGAACGCGTGCAGCACGTGACCATAAATCAGCTGTTAGTAAGCCTGTGGATACACCGCTGTTGTTTATACGGTATAAACTTTCAATTATTAAAATAAGAGTAAGTACTTAAATTAATTTCTATACACCCAAAACAATGCCCAACTTTTGTGCTGTTGCTCAGTGCGGAAGTAGAAGTAATAGGGACAAGGCAAGGATGCTATATAATATAGGATTGCCTGATCCCTATACTGTGCAATGGCGGCTAACATATGCAGGACATTTTCATGATCCATCATAGGATGATTGGCACTCCATTCATTTAAGAGGTCCGTGTATGAACCTGAAAGTTGTTATTTTGTTAACCCTTACCGGTACTTGAGCTACGGCCAGTGATCATTTAGGTTTATAGTTATCATGAGCTATAGATAGGACTGTTGCTGGTAAGAAATACCAAAGTTTGTTTTTATTATTGATAAACAACAATGTAATTGATAACGTTATTGATGCTAGATATGGATGAACATGATGTCCTACCACTCATTAAAATCGAACCAAAACAAGAAGAAGAAATCCATTCCAATCTTCAAGAAAACATTTTAGTAAGCAACGAAGCATTGGTTACAATAAAGGACGAAGAAATTGCCATTTCTGCACAGTGTTCCAAATCGCTCGATAATGAAGTACAAAAACAAAGTGATTGTGGATGGAATATTAAAAGTCATATTTCCAATGATTTCAAATGTGACTTCGAACAACACAAAACAAATAGTAAGCTTCAAGTTAAACTACATCCTTTAAAGCAAAATGTCTTTCACTGTGCTCATTGTGATTATGTCACATGGAATAAACGATATCTTAAAAGGCACCTTTTAAGACATGTCGATTCTAAAGTTTTTAAATGTGTTCATTGTGATTATGGAACAAATAATGAAGGATATCTTAAACGAAACTTTTTAATACATAGCGATTCTAAAGATTTTAAATGTACTAATTGTGATTACGAGACAAATTACAAATCGAATCTTAAAAAACACCTTTTAAATCATACTGACTCGAAAAATTTTAAATGTGGACATTGCGATTATGAAACACATTTCAAAACCAACTTTAACCGACACCGTTTAAAACATACTGGCCCTAAAGATTTTAAATGTGCTAATTGTGATTATGGAACAAATAATGAAGGATATCTTAAACGACACCTTTTAATACATAGCAATTCTAAAGATTTTAAATGTACTAATTGTGATTACGAGACAAATTACAGATCGAACCTTAAAAAACACCTTTTAAATCATACTGACTCGAAAGATTTTAAATGCGGACATTGCGATTATGAGACAAATAACAAAACCAACTTTAACCGACACTGTTTAAATCATATTGGCTCTAAAGATTTTAAATGTGCTAATTGTGATTACAAGACAAATGATAAATACCGCTTTAATGAACACCTTTCAAAACTTACGTTAATAATAATGTCTGTGCATGTAGTAATGATTATCTCAGAGCAAGACATAACATAAAAGTAATCTGTTATTAATTAATTAAGATTCTCCAACTTATACCTGTTAGAAGTTAATTAGAATTAGAAGTAAGTAGACATTTGCTTAGTGGCGGAAACGCATGTCGATTTAAAATATTTTAGATAAAGAAATATAATAAACTACTTTATATGTAATGTAATTCTCCATTTTTTGGGGTTCGTTGAGATTCTTTAATATATAAAAGGAACCACAAATGTTTTTGTTCGATTGCTTTATAGAAACAATAAACATTTGTGGTTCCTTTTATATATTAAAGAATAAACTATTGGTATATGGAGAAACATCCAGGCGCATGAACGAGACCAAGAACTTAATTCAAAAGATGGGGACGACCGCAGCCGGCATCTAACGGAGGAATTTTACACTTGTTACAGCATGTTTGCATATGAAATTTCTACGTTACCAATGTAGATATTTACAGGACTACCAAAAATATGTTAGTGTAGAAGCAAGCTCATCTAAAAACTATAGCGCATATCGGATGCATGCGAATTCGCCTTTACTTATTAATCTAATTGAGTGAACAGTATAAAAAAAAACCCAAGGCTCCGCCACTGGAAGTGAAACGTTTTTGAAACAGAAAATTGACCCTTACCGGTACGTGAGCTACAGTCAGAGTGTGACTAGTGACTACAAATGTGTATTGTTTATTATCAAATTTTATTTATGATAAACAAACGAAATTGATAACGTTATTGATGCTAGATAAGGTAGATATGGACGGAAATGATTTCCCACCATTCATTAAAATCGAGCCAAAACAAGAAGAAGAAATTCATTCTGATCTGCAAGGAAATATTTTAATAAAGAACGAAGCATTGGTTACAGTAAAGGACGAAATTACCATTACTGCACAATGCTCCAAATCGCTTGATAATGAAGGGGTTTCAGAAATATTTAACTGTGATCATTGTGATTATGGAACAAAAAATAAACAACTGTTTCGACAACACATTTTGACAAACAGACATGTGCTACAATGTACTAATTGTGATTACAATACACATAATAAATACCACTTAAAACGACATCTTTTAAATCATACCGATTCTAAAAATTTCAAATGTGCATATTGTGATCACAAGACAAATAACAAATACAACTTTAAAGAACACCTTTTAAGGCATTTCGATTCTAAAGATTTTAAATGTGCTCATTGTGATTATGGAACAAATAATAAACGATATCTCAAACGACACCTTTTAAAACATGTAGTTTCTAAATATTTTAAGTGTACGAATTGTGATTACAAGACCAATAACAAAGACAACTTAAGACAACACCTTCTAAGGCATACCGATTCTAAAGATTTTAAATGTTCTCATTGTGATTATGTAACAAAAAATAAGCGATATCTGAAACGGCACCTTTTGAAACATATCGATTTTAAATGATCCAATTGTAATTAGGAGACGAATAACAAATACATCTTTAAACAACACCTTTTAATAGATTAATGGATTTTAAACATTTTAAATGTACCAATTGTAATTACCCGACAAATATCAAACGCTACTCAACAACACCTTCTAAAACATAAAGTTTCTAAAAATTGTAAATGTGCTCATTGTGACTCATTACAAAATCCCATAGCTCTCTCTGCATCGGTCAAACAGAGAGTGCACTTTGTTAAGGTTTATAGCGATACCCACCACATCGTACGTACAAACTATAACGATAACCTAAATTTTTTTTGTACTGTAGGTACCCACCGTGATTTTCAGTACGTAGATACGTATGAAAGTGAAAATACTTTGTTATCTCATTATCACTGGCACACTATTTGTAACAAACATAACCTCACTCTTGTTAAAAACGGGCCAACGGAAACGTAAATGCCGAACTTCAACCAGCTATCAACCCACCTTTACGGTACTTGAGCTACAGCCAGGCTTTATCTACGTGCATTGGTGCATTTGTTTTGTATACCTCATATATAAAAGAGAAGTATACTCCGTTCAATAGTTGTCCAAGTAGTAGGCCATGTTAGGGTGATGAAATTCACTGTTTATATGTGCTGTCACTCATTAGGTTATGTCCATTTTATACAAAATGATAATTTCCTGTCAATTTGCAAAACCTAGTTGCCAGATTGAGATGCCCCAACCTTAACAACTTCCTGTGAATATGATTGTCGATACGAAGCACCCTATACATCATGTAGGTTACACAAGCTGCCAACAGAAATCTGGTGGGATTACAGAAAAGGGAAAGAGAGCGAAGATGAGACGGATGGAATTTCTTGGAAGACGACATGTGTTTACAATTTCAACACCTGCAGTCCACTTTTTTCTTAGAAATGCGGGAAATGCAGGGAATGGGCGATTTTGGGGTGGTTTAGGGGTATTAGCAGATCAAATTACCGCGTGGCTTGGGTTGGTCAAATAAATAGGATTTAACATGTGTGTTCATGGTCTTTGTCTTGTAACCGGCTGAAGTGTAAAGTACGGCTTGTCTTGAAATATTTTGTTATACCTTAATCATTGCTGTGTGCTTTTGCTTTGTTATATCAGGTGAGGTATTTGCTTTATTCAATTAATCTATAAATGTGTGTAACTTGAATGCAGATTGTAACCCTTTACTTATGTACTTACTGAATTCAATCACTTGTACCTTAAATGTGTAACCTTTGTTGGTATTGGCAATCATGTTTCATTGTCGGTAGGGCTGTATCTGTGCTTTACATACTTGCATGTGTACATATTTAATTTGTGTATTGTGCTTTTTAGTCACTCTCGATTATTCCATTGCATTTCATTATATTTGTTTATTTGGGACTGTGAGTAATCAAGAGGGAAGTGTGCTTGTTTAGAGGGGATCGAGCTATTCAAGTTTATACGGCCTTGGTGAACCTAACACTAACATTTTCACTCGTTCCGAACCCAACAACTTTAGCCCTTGACTACAGGGTCTCCACTGGTCTTGGGTACTTCCCCCCGCCCGGCGAGGTATATTTGACATTTCTTAGTTTTGTCCGATGTATGTGTTGTAATACCTGGGGAATGGCTCGATCCCATTTTGGTTACTCATAGCGTGTTTGTAGTAGTTACCCCGATTTCGAGAGGGCTCAAAAGTGCTGTACATTGGATGTTGTTCATTATAGGACTACTCCGAATTAGATTTCCCTGCAGTTTTCCTAATTCGTAAGGTAAATGCCGGAGTAGTATAGAACTGCTTAAGACCCTCTGCAGGGGCACCGTTTTGGTATTAGCTGCAATATAAACTTAATCAACTATTGCTTTTTGGTGTTCCTTACCCATAAAACGCCCTCAGTGCCTGCTGAGAACCCAGTTATTACACAACGTAGGTGTCCTACATGACGATCACGATCTTAGCGCACTCGGAGTGGCCCCAGAGTAACAGGTTCTCGCGGGAAATGTAAGTGAGAATATTCAAATAGGCAGCCATGTTAGTGTGGCATTCCCGCTACTACAGAATATGGTCCAATATCCGTGTGTGACTTGAAGTTGACATTAGCTCGCCGAGATATTAGGAGGCTAAGATCATCACAAGATTTAGTTTTGGATTTTGTGGTAATTTTGTTTAAGGTTAATACGTATAAATTTCATGAGAAACAACTTGCTCAATACGTTTCATACTTTATTGAGTAGGCAAATGGCTCTAATGAACATTATTAATTTCAAAAGGCTGTTATATATTTACAATTATATGCTTAGTAATAGCTAGATACCTAACTGCGCTTGAGTGTAGTTCTTGCTTCTGCGGTGCCATTGGAATGTTCTTCCTTGGGTCTTTTGTTTTCCGTCTGTGCTGTTTGATGATTAGTACATTTCTGTTAATCTTATTTACGGTGGGTAGCTTCCTATTCTTTGGGGAACCTTTTAGTCTTAGAGCAGCTGCGTGATGGAAGTAATTGATTAACCACCCAAAGGGCTGTAACTTTTGAACTAGTAGCCCAATCTTGGAACTGTTTGAAATTATGGATTCTACACGCCACATTCTATAAGAAAAATTTTTTTCCGGGTCGATGTTAGACAATTTTTTTTCGGGGCCCAAAAAAAGGCAGTGTATAACTTTCCTTTTTTTTACCAAAAATCGACTACACCAAAATTTCTCGGGAAAACACTTTTTCTTATTAATTTGGGTGCGTAGAATCCAAATCAATTCGTAATTTTTCGATCAGACTTCTCAATCAAAAGTTATAGACTAGAAACCAATTTCGAAAGAAAATTCAAAGGGCTGTAACCTTTGAACTAGTAGCCCAATCTTGGAACTGTTTGAAATTATGGATTCTACAGGCCACATTCTATAAGAAAATTTTTTTTCCGGGTCGATCTGAGACAATTTTTTTTTCGAGGCTCAAAAAAAGGCAGTGTATAACCTTCCTTTTTTACCAAAAATCGACTGCACCAAAATTTCTCGGGAAAACACTTTTTCTTATTAATTTTGGTGCGTAGAATCCAAAACATTTCGTACTTTTTCGATCAGACTTCTCAATCAAAAGTTATAGACTAGAAACCAATTTCGAAAGAAAATTCAAAGGGCTTTAACTTTTGAACTAGTAGCCCAATCTTGGAACTGTTTGAAATTATGGATTCTACAGGCCACATTCTATAAGAAAATTTTTTTTCCGGGTCGATGTGAGACAATTTTTTTTTCGGGGCTCAAAAAAAGGCAGTGTATAAACCTTCCTTTTTAACCAAAAATCGACTGCACCAAAAATTCTCGGGAAAACACTTTTTCTTATTAATTTTGGTGCGTAGAATCCAAAACAATTCGTACTTTTTCGATCAGACTTCTCAATCAAAAGTTATAGACTAGAAACCAATTTGAAAAAAATTCAAAGGGCTGTAACTTTTGAACTAGTAGCCCAATCTTGGAACTGTTTGAAATTATGGATTCTACCTCGTTACTATTTGAAGTTTGTAATAGATTACACCCTTCCAAAAATCCAAAACGAGACCCCGCATGCAAAACAGTAAAACGCTCCCTTCTGATTTAATTTTAGACGGATTACTTTTAATTTGTGAATCGTGTACCCCTTTTCGAACGCTGGATCCATTTTGGAAAATCCAAGTTTCGTCCAGATACACGAATGTTATATTTTCACTTGAATTTTGTTATTGCAAGAATTTCCTCAAAAATGTAATTTTGGATGCAACAACATATTTTTGTTCACAGAGAATTTTACGTCCATTTACGTGTTTGTACATAGCGATCAAAAATGAGTGACCGTCTAGTCACTTTTGGAATTTTTGTTTACATGGGAAATCCTACTTAACTTGAACTTTCAAAGGCGACTCGACAGTCACTCATTCTTGATCGCCCGTTATTTATAACCCATTGATTTTAGAATGTTGTATATCAAAATCAAAATTTTCCCGCGCGTCCCTTTAGTAAGTCAGCCAAAGTAAAGTGTTCATTTTTCGAGTGATAATTCCAAATCAGTCGTTGCAAATCTTCCCGAAATGAAAAATTTTTATATATAAGTTTTAGGTCGTGGGCCAAAAGGTTTCAATTCAAAAGTATCCAGCCGGATAATTCTTTCAATGGTTTTTTCTGATACCTAGAATAGTACAAACCCCAAAATTAGACCGAAAGTTAAGTTCAATGCATAAATACTCACATCCCAAATGTTACTAAGCCGGGCTAAGATTTCCGCTGTCCTTAGGTCTGGCCTGTCTGTTTTGTAATGCCTGTAGGCTTTTAAAATTTGCATTTTTGAGATGGGCATACCTTTATGACAAAGGCTGGATACTTAACATCAAAAACAAAATCTACGAACGCAACCAAAGAAGCCGGACACTGCCGTCCTTCCCGGTAGCGAAGCCACTACCAAAATACCTAGAATTTTATTTTTAGAATTTGAATGTTTTTGTAATCAATTGGGGTTAGGTACCTGGTTTTTGAAAAGAGGAATACTAAATAACAACAGCCGGATTTACTGTTAGATAGGATGGAAATTTCCATTCCGGGGTGGGTTAGTTTCCGACTCAGGGGTGAAGAGGGTTTTTATTTGTTGAAAGGAAGTTCGGCGCCTTTTTGGAATGTGAAGAAGGACACTACCTACTACCTTCGAGAGAGTTTCGTTCCCGTAGTTTACAATTCGAGAGTTCATATCAGGTGATGTAATTGGTTTTTGTTAATTCATTAATTGCATGTAATGTAAATTGTGTTCCCTCATATTTATATCATTTTGGAATTTGTACTTCAATCCGAATATTCACATAACTGCCAATTTTGTACTTTGTTTGTAAGGGGATGCCTGGTGTTAAATATCTTGCCAAAATGTTATGGGGAAAGCGACCCTCTAGCTGGGGAAGTTTCGGATTTGTGTTTATTATGTTAACTTGGAAGGCGCCTATATGACTATTCAGATTCGTGTTCACAGTTGTTGAGTAGCTTAGTTGTAGAGTAGAAGCGATGATTTTCTACGTGTGCAATGACCATTTATGAGAGGACACTAATCTTTCGACCGTGAGAAACTAGAGTCCATCGGCGAATCAAATTATAAAATTGCAAGAAGACCACAAGGCAAGCGACTCTAGTTTCGAACCTTCAGCTTTAGGCAAGTTGTACTCGCAAACCCAGAGCAGTCTTGTTACCTGTTCCAGGGGTGGAACTATAATTAACAGTCTTCCGTTTCTGAAAGGTGTGTGTGACCGAGTTTGGGTATAATCGTGAGATAATTGACGCTTGGGAACACGAGTTTGGATGTCATTGCTATTTCATGATGTACCGACTAAGCCAGCTAGAAGAGTTTATTCCCCTGGTATTGTTCCAATCCGTTGTTCCAATAATGACTATTTTATATCGCCGTAATGACTACTATTTACCAAGTACTGTTAAGAGTATTGTATTATATTTCAGGAAACCCCGTGTTAGCTTGTTTATTAACGTCAACCCCTTTAGCTTCTACGAACACGAGTAGAGGGTTTCTCTGGCAGAGGTCTTCCCTCGCACAGGCCTACTCGTTAGGGACTTCTGCATTTCCAAATTATTAGGGAATCTGTTTGGGTAACAATAAATACTTTAGGCCGCATTTGACTGTTTCTTTTCCTTCCCGATAGCATCCCCCATTCCGAGTGTAACGGTTACAACTTGACGGTGAGTAAAATGTAGGGTCTCTGTCCTAGGCGATCCGATCACAAGCCATTTGTTCCGGCAGAGGAGAAGGCTGGACATGGTAGCCATATCCTTTTAGTATTTTCCCACCGTATTTGAATTTAGTGTTCGGAGTGAAGTTAGTTGACCTCTTAAGATCATTACATTTTAGCATCTGAATTTATGATTTTCGGCATATTTGCTTAATAAAAATCACAATTGACTGATACGTATCCATGACGCCGATATTCAAACATATTAGGTCTAGTGGCAAACAAAGTGTGAAAGCACTGACAACATTGTACGTTTAACCTCAAATAGTCAAATTAGACATTCCTGTACTTCGCAACTGATTCTGATAGGGAGTTTTAATTTTATTAAACAAAAACAAAATTCCATGGCTACCTACTTGGGCAATAACTATTGAACGGAGTATATATGGATAAACGAGTGGACACGCCTATCACCAACATTGGAAGAGGGAAATATACTTCTGTCATTAGAAGTCAAATAGGCGCTAATGCGCATGCCTGTTATTATGAAGTGTTATTTACCAAGCATTTACTCCAGTTTGACATAACGGATTGAGGTTAAATTGTTTGTTTTGTTTATGAGTTATTGAACTTTTGTTTAATTTTAATAGTAAAGAAGACTTTCGTAGTTATATAAATCAGTGTAGGTAAGTGATACACAATAATTGTAAAGAAATACCTAATGCTTTTTAATGCAATTTTAGTGTGTTTATTACTTAGAAATAAAGAATGCAGGCACTTGTGGGAAAGTGGATTCTTCGGTTTCATGGCACAAGTAACTTATAATGCAATTATCTGTAATTCATTTATGCCATACTTGTTTGTAGATTCCCAAGTGAAAAAAGCAACAAGAATCGGTGACTGCAAGCATGTGAACTATCGGAATTCGATGATGTCAAAACAAGGCTGTGTTCTCGTCATTTTAACCGTTATGACTGCATTGATTTGGATGCACCCAAGCAGATTATTGAAAAAGATGCAGGTTTTATTTTTTGAAATTTTCCGTCTTTATTATGCAAAAAATTGAAAACTAATACGGTTGATTCACGTTAAAAAATTTTTTCTACAAAAAACCTTAATACATTTTTGCTCTAAAATAATTTGGGGAGCCAATAATCGTATGCTATGAATTTTACATTGAAATCCCTATGATGCGTTACGCAAGTCACCACCCTGTATACTAATTTCATGCATTGCGAATGATTCCTTTACGCAAAGTTGACGTAATAATTTATTATATAAACATTAATTCGACGTTGTGAATGCAGCTTAATTATGAATTGTTAATTGTGCGTATTCATTTTAAGGTTCTGACTGAATGCTACTTTAATGACAACCCCCCACTTAAAAAAACGTAAAGTTGACCTTTACCGGTACTTGAGCGACAGCCAGAGCACACGTCAGCGCAAACTGTTTATATTGTTGATAAACAAAGTTTCTTGATAACGTTGTTGATTCGTGATATGGACGAAAATGGTGCCATACCACTCATTAAAATGGAACCAAAACAAGAAGAAGAAATCAATTCCGATTTTCAAGATCATATTTTAGTAAGCAACGAGGCAATAAAGGACGAAATTACTAACATTACAACACACAGTTCCAAATCGCTCGATAATGAAGAAGTACAACAGCAAACTCCCAACGATTTTGAACGTGTCTTCGGTCCACACAGAACAAATAGTAAGCTGCAAGTTAAACAACGTATTTTTAATTGTGCTCATTGTAATTATGGAACAAAGAGTAAAGACCTACTTAAACGGCACATTGTAACACACAAACGTAATGAGATACATTGTGCTCATTGTGATTACAAGACAAGTCATAACTACCGCTTTAAACGACACATTTTGAAACATAGCAATTCTGTATGTACTATTTGTGATTACAAGACAAATATTAAATCCCAATTTAGACGACACCTTTTAACACATAAAGTTTCTAAAGATTTGAAATGTGCCAATTGTGATTATAGAACAAATAATGAACATTATCTTAAACAACATCTTTTAATTCATACTGATTCTAAAGAATTTAAATGTACTCGTTGTGATTACGAGACAAATATTAATCATCGCCTCAAACGGCACCTTTTAACACATAACCTTTCTAAAGCTTTTAAATGTGCTAATTGTGATTACAAGACAAATGTTAAATACCACTTTAAACGACACTTTTCAACACATATCAATTCAAAAGATTTTAAATGTGCTCATTGCACTTATGGAACAAATAATGAAAAATATCTTCAACGACACCTTTTAAAACATATCGATTCTAAGGATTTTAAATGTGCTAATTGTGATTACCAAACAAATGATAAATGCTACTTTAAACGACATCTTTTAAAACATACCAATTCTAAAGATTTTAAATGTGCCCATTGTGATTACACGACTGAGAGAAAATACTACTTTAAAGTGCACCTTTTAACACATACCGATTCTAAAGATTTTAAATGTACTAATTGTTATTATGAGACAAACAACAAATACTGGTTAAAACGACACCTTTTAAAACATAAAGTTTCTAAAGATTTTAAATGTGCTCATTGCGATTTTGAGACACATAACAAATACTGTATTAAAACCCACCTTTTAAGGCACACAAACCGGTTTTCAAAGGAACGCATTTCTCCTTAACTTAAATATTAGTTATTTAGTGTGTGGCTTGATGAGATGGACGTATACTAACTAGATTTTTCGATATTTACGTGAATTCCCGAAAACCAAACAATTTTAGCGGAATAAGCAAAGTTATCGTTCCGAGGTTTTCTTTAAAATGTAACGAATGTAACTCATTTAGCTGTAGATATTAGAATTATTATATATCAGCATTTGCTTAATTGTATTTAAGGTCATTTTTAAAAATAAAGAAATATTTATAAATATTAAATTCAATTGACTTTTATCACAAAATCGTATATTTCCTTGAAAATGAACCACCAGTTGTAATTTTGATACAAAAAACTAACATTTACATACATATTAGGAATGTAAGGTTTACCATTTACAAATGTGGATGGTCTGGTAATAAATAATTTCACAAACAGAATACAAACATCGACACAATCAAGTACCTAAAGTCATACATCAAGAATAAAGCTCGTGAGCTCATATTACAAATACACTCCACAGATAATACTTGAAAACCACACAAATAAATTATACTGTGATTAGACATGATACAGACCAACTTATTCACAAGCACAACACGCTAGATTACACTTAACTATAGATAGCATTCAATAATCTATTTACCAAAAGCGCATGCGGAAAAAAAATTGTGTTAATTAATTTTATAATTTTACTAATTTGCGTTGGAAAAATGTTAATCTTTTGTTAATTTTGTCAAAGCAACTTATTGTATCAAAAAAGTATTAACATTTGCAACAAATCTACAAATTGAAAAATACGCACGCCACTGTTCATTGTTTTTTGCTTGCTGAATCGCTAAAATTTAAAAAAAAACGAAAAAATCCCCAAAGGATATGAAAAATCGGATGGAACATTCGAAGAATCAGAAGAACCACGCTGGGTATGTACAGGGTACTCTGTCAAATCAAGGGACATTTTTCGCAAAAGTATTACGAAGCGTACTCCCGAAAAACATACGGGAATGTTGTGTTGTGTTTTCATTTAGAAACGTATTTATTACAACTTTTGTGGTGGCTACCGCACGTCCTACCTATTCGTTAGCCACAGTCGAAATTGACTTGACAGTTGACACTTGACACCTTTTCTTTTCTCTTGGACGAATACCTTGTTCCAAGTGGCAAATGCCTGAAGAACGTTCCTTTGGAGTACGTACCTTCAGAGCTTTATTTCTTACTCTAAGTAACCAATTTAAATGTAATTAATACTTTTCTTGTAGTTCATTAAACGATGTTTGCCAATGTCAAAGTTGAACCGAAACAAGAGCAAGAAACTAAGGAATTTGTTGACGAGGTTTGCCCTAGCGATGCAACGGTAAAGCAAGAAACGTACTCGTTGTCGATTGGTGCGGACTGGGAAGATAAAAAGGAATTCGTGCAGGAAGATGTCGATGCTAAGGAAATATCGACAGACTTTGAAACAAGCGAGACTAAATGTGCCCAGTGTGATTACACAACGGATGTTAATTCTGATTTGGACTTGCATCTATTGGCACACAAAATATCGACCGTTTTAAAATGTGTGCTGTGCGATTTTGCAACAGACAATGACACTGATTTCAACATCCACGTGTTATCGCACAAAGTTTCAAAGGACTTCAAATGTACCCAATGTGATTACGCAACCAGTAACGGTTATCATTTAAAAACACACCTGCTGACACACGAAGCCGTCACAAATTTTAAATGTGCTCTATGTCATTACGCAACCTGTAATAAAAGGTGTTTTTCAATACATCTGTTAACGCATAAAACCACCAAGGATTTAAAATGTGCCCATTGTAGTTATGCGACAAATATTAAAGCCGACTTGAGAAAACATCTCCGAGTACACAAGACTTTTAAGGATTTCAAGTGTACGCAGTGTGAGTACACTTCCAATATTAAATCCAACTTCAAAACGCATATGTTAAAGCATACAGCGTCTCAGCATTTAAAATGTGCACACTGTAATTATGCAACCAATAATAAGACCAATTATAAATCGCATCTGTTAACCCACAAGATTTCCAAGGATCTGAAATGTAACCAGTGTGGTTATGCAACCAATAACAAGTACCATTTCAAAACTCATGTGGTAGCTCATACGGCTTCCAAAGATCTGAAATGCGCACAGTGTGGATACGCAACGAGTAATAAATCATGTTTTAAAACACATCTGCTGACACATAGGACTTTCAAGGCTTTAAAATGTGCCCACTGCGATCATGCAACGAACATTAAAGGCGATCTCAAAAAACATCTTTTAATACACAAAACTTCCAAGGATTTCAAATGTGCACAGTGCGGATATACAACGAATAATAAATCCTACTTTAAATCACATCTGTTATCGCACACAAATTATAAGGGCTTGGAATGCGACCATTGCAATTACGCGACCAACAATCGATCCAATTTCAGAGCGCACCAGCTGACGCATCAGACGTCCAAGGATTTGAAATGTGACCTGTGCGATTACGCGACCAATTCGAAATCCTACATTAAAATTCATAAGTTAACGCACAAGAGCGTGAAGGAACTGAAATGTGTCCAATGCGATTATGCAACAAATATCAAACGCGACCTCAATCGACATCTCTTAGTGCATAAGGCCTCGAAGGATTTAAAGTGCCATCAGTGCTGGTACGCGACCAATAACAAGTACAATTTGAGAATGCATCTTTTAACGCACACGACCTCCAAGGATTTCAAATGTGAACTGTGCGATTACACGGCGAAGACCAAATACGCGATCAAACGACATCTCCCGACACACAGAGAATTGTACGTATAATTGCTCATCAGCGAACTGGATGTTGTTGAGTGTGACACTGCCATTCTCATTTGAAGCCCGAACGAGGGTGTTCGTACCTATTTGGTGTAGAAGTAATTTTTTGAGTGTTATACTAGAATTATCGACACCTAATCTACTCCTATTTATTATTAGTCATAAGCAATTAGTGTGTAATCTATAGGCAACAAGTTTTTCCTTTTCACCCTTCCAGTAGAAATGGCGTTGAGGCAATGGTAATTGGGTATATGCATATTTTTTGTTCTCATGATGCTTTAACATAAAATGCCTGTCTGCTGTTTTAATTGTGGGTGATCTAGATTAGAACAAAATAGAGTAAAGTGTAGTATGTACCTGCTGTTTTTGTGATCTCATATTTTAGTGTCGAAAACTCGCCAATGAAATTTTTTGTTTATTATACCTGAATCGCAATATCCGTTTTGAACACTCAAATGACTGCGAGGTCGGACCTTTGAGACGCTAGGGCTTTAATTCATTCATCCATTTCCAAAGACTTTCCATATTCTTTGCTTTACTGGAGTTTGTAGGTAGCGACTTTTCTTCTGCTTCTGCAACATACCACTAAATTTTCAATTAAATTCATTTTAACTTAATCACAAATGTATTCGAGTAGAAAGTCGATAAGATCTTATTTTATTTCTCTTATATTTAAATTATATTGCAGGTATAATAAAAAATCCTATAAGAAACTCGTGCATAACTGGTCTTTAAAGCGCTTCAAAATTTCCATACACAAACCACACCAAGAATTTGGTTTTGTGGTTTTGAAGGTATAAAAAAACACTGTAGTAGGCATTTTGTTGAAATAAGTTGACCTGCACAAACTTACCAATATTGGAAATTTTTTTAAGCCCAGGAGTATAAAACGGGTGGTCTCGGACCACCCTGTGTAATTGACAAACAGGTATGATTTTATTATTTAGGAATAAAACACGCAATTGAATAAAATTTTTATAAATATATCTTTATATATAAAATATTACCCTATAGCCTTATTAATTAAACTCTCGGAGCAAGTTTTGTTAACTGTTATGGTATGTTCCCCTATTTCTATTGTGATACACAATAGGTATGATTTTATTATTCAGGAATAAAACGCGCAATTGAATAAAATGTTTATAAATATATCTTTTATATATGAAAAATTACCTTATAGCCTTATTAATTAAACTCTCGGAGCACGTTTTGTTTACTTTTATGGTATGGTCCCCTATTTCTATTGTGATACACCATAGGTATGATTTTATTATTAAGGTATAAAACGCGCAATTGAATAAAATTTTTATATCTTTATATATAAAATATTACTTTATAGCCTTATTAATTAAACTCTCGGAGTAAGTTTTGTTTACTTTTGTAGGGGGTCCTGCTTACTAATACAATAATCAATAACAATATTCAATAATGTTTATTAAATAAAATGCGGGGAACTGAACCACACAATGTGACTAATACAACACAATTCCATCAAACTGAATATAGTCAACCTCCTGCATGCCAACTTAAAAATACATTCTACCAACTATACATAAGTACCAACTTAAACTAAAGGCGCGTAATTTCAAAATTCAAATCTTAGTTACTACAGCTCGGCCGATCCTGACGATAAGTTGTCCTCAACTTCGACAGAATGATTTTCACCCTCAGAATCGCTCGCACTTTCACAATTGTTATGCATCCAATGTTTTAAACGTGACGGGTCAAAAATACCTTCAAAAGGAATTCGGGTAACTTGAAATCCTTCAATATCCTTAATCAAGTAACGGTCATTTGGTAATATTTTTTGAACAACATAGGGGCCTTTATATTTAGGTAGCAGCTTTTTATTAATGCCAGGTTCAGTTATGGTATTTTTAATAACAACATAATCGCCCACTTTAAAACTCTTTGGGTTTTTCCGTCTACTATCATAATATGATTTATTATAATCTTGTACTTTGGTATTTTGTATTTGAGCCCTTGTCCTCACATCAGCCAGTGATACTAAACTTTCATTAAGATAATTATTATTTTGCAGATACTCCTTAATATTATCGTTAACATTACCTCTTTGATTTATCCCAAATAATAAAACGGAAGGACTAACCCCTACTGATCTACATAGTGTATTGTTAATTGAAAATTCAACATCATTTAGTACTTGGTCCCATTCTAATTTTTCAGATAACTTAGATATCATAGGTGTTAAATATCGATTTACCCGCTCGACTTGCCCGTTAGCTTGCGGAGCAGATGTCGCTATAAGTACTAAAATAACATCTCTAGAATCGACAAACTCTTTAAATTGTTGAGATCTAAAACAACTGCCTCGATCTGATATAATTCGGCGTGGAGCACTATAATATCTAAAATAGGTAAGTAGATGAGAAATAACTTCACTAGCATTTGTTGTTCGTGAAGGGAATAACTTAACAAATTTTGTGAATGAATCAATTACGACAAGAATAAATTTATTTCGTCTTTTAGTTGTTGCAAGTGGACCATAATGATCAATATTTAATGTATCGAATGGTTTATTGCCTTTATCAATATTATGCAATTTCCCTTCTTGTTTCCCCTGCGGCACGGAAAACGTTATGCATTTCAAACAATTGGAAATATAGTGCTCAACACATTTTTTTAAGTTAGGGAACCAATAAGTTCGCTTAATTAATTCCACGGTCTTATCAGTACCAAAGTGACCTACGTCATCATGGCATGTTCTTATAACATTTTGCTGCATGGCTTCTGGGACATAGAATAAAAGCCCATCTTTAGCCTTTCTATACACCAATCCATCCCGTAATTCAAAAAATGAACTTTCACTTTCCTCTAAACTATTCCTAATTTTCGTTATGTTACGATCTTGAGTCTGTTTCAAGCCTAACACATACTCAAAACTATTTTCTTGTATGATAAGAATATTTTGAGCTCTGCTCAATGCATCGACATGTCGCATTCGAGAATTTTCTCGATGTTCGACTTCATAATTAAAATCAGAAAAATATAGTGCCCACCTACTAATCCTAGGATTTATATCTTTCTTTGCTAAAGCCAATTTTAGAGAATTGCAATCGGTTACAATTTTGAATTTAATTCCATGCAAATAAACACGAAATCTTTCTAAAGCATACTTAACTGCAAGTGTTTCGAGTTCATAACTATGGTACCTTGACTCGGTATCAGTTGTTCGTCGGCTATAATAAAAAACAGGATGAAATTTATTATCTTCAACCTGGCGTTGGAGAAGAATTGCTCCGAAACCTAATGAACTTGCATCGCAATGCAGCTCTGTTTCTGTCTTGGGAGAATAAATCGACAAAAGCGGCAATTCAGAAAGCTTCTGTTTCAATTTCTCAAAGGCCTGTAATTCTACCGATCCCCATTGAAATTGTATATTTTTTTGAATAAGTGCATATAAGGGTCTAGCCAAAAGTGCAAAATCTTTGACAAATCTTCTAAAGTAAGACACTAGTCCTACAAATCTGTGAACTTCGTGACAATTTTTCGGCAATGGGTAGTTAATTACCGCTTGCACATTTTCAGGGTTCGGACGAATGCCCTCACCGTCTACCAAATATCCTAGATATACTATCTGTTTTTGCATGAACTTACATTTATCCAATCTAATCTCTAACAAATTTCTCACCATCAAGTCAAACACCTCTTTTAAAATTTGAAGATGTTCTTCAATTTCATTAGTGGCTATGAGCAAGTCATCAAAATAAATCAGAATTTTACCTTCACGTAACATATTGGCAAATATTATATTAATAAATCTTTGAAATACATGAGGTGCAGTGCAAATACCAAATGGCATACGTAAAAATTCATATTGGCCAAATGGCGTAACAAAAGAAGTATAACGTACACAGTCTGGGGCAATTTTCACATGGTAAAATCCATTTTTAAGATCTAACGAAGTAAAATAACGTTTGTCCCTCAACGCATCCAAATGATCGTCAATCAGTGGTAAGGGAAAATGATCCCGTACAATTAACTTATTTAACTCTCTGTAATCTACACACATGCGGATCTCGCCCGATTTTTTCCTTACTAATACAATAGGACTACAAAAATCAGAGTGACTAGGTTGAATCACATTCTTGTTCAATAAATCATCAATAATGTTTCTAACTTCACCCTTCTCTACGTGAGACAATCTACGTGGATTAAAATAAAATGGTTGCTCACTTTTCAAAGTAATACGCATCTCATAATCGGTCTCAGGAGAAGATGGTATGAGTGCATTTTTGTAACAATTATTGTACAGTGAAACAACGTCCTCTTTAATCTTATGATCTATGGTGTCATCAATAATAATATCAGGTTCTAACAGTAAAGTAGTTTGTTTGTTACAGGGAATGTCAGGTTTTACATTTGAATCACATTCACTTACATTATCACTTATATCAATTTGTAGAATCTCATTACATGCATCATCTACCATTTTACTTTCCTTTGCAGAGCCTTCAAAATTATTAATCAAACGAATTGGGGTTTTAGATAGCGTAATAAAATCTCTACCAACAATAGCAGGCACATTCATAGTATCATCACCTACGACATAAATCTTAAGGGGCAATTTCTCTTGGTTTACAATCACGGTTTGAGTAAATACTCCTACAATGGTTACTTTTGAATTGTTAATTCCAAAGTAATTATCACATTCAATATCAGTTGTATAACAATAAGCAGGTAAGTACATACTTTTTACAAAACTAATAGGGCTACCTGTATCTAACATGGCGTCCAAAGACAATGATGATTGAGTTGCATCCTCTCCATACTTCAATTCCAGCTGAACCATGATGGGTTGCCCTGGACCCATAACGATTGCAGTAGTAGTGCTGTCCGCAGCTGATTTCGTAACTCGCCTCACTGGAGTAGTCTGCGTGCAATTTTCTATTTTATGGTCTGTGCTGCCACAACGATAACAGGAACCTCTATTCCGTTTTGGTTTGTCGCAATTGATGGATAAATGCCCATATGTGCTACAATTAAAACAACGTACAGTTTTTGTTGATGACTCACCTTCGGATCGCGAGACAGAAGGTGTCGAAGTCACATTTGTTTTTCCTGCAACTGCAACGATACTCGTTCCTTTCACTTGTTGAAGACCCCTGTCACACTGCGTTATTCTGTTCATCTTATTGTAGAATTCGGACAATGATTCAAAATCTTGCAACCGCGCTTGAGATTGTAGCATAGGATTATTGAAACCGTCAATAATATAGTCAATTATATCAGCATCACTTAAATTTAACTTATTTCCCAGTAGCACTTTAGCATGATAATACTCAGAGAATTTTTCATTTCGTCTCCAAATCCGCGATTCAAACTTTTTCATTAAGGCAATCTTATCCTCCCTCACTTGGAACATGGATTGCAATTTTTGTTTAAAGGCATCGTACGATAGTCCAGCATATTCCGGCTTGGAGTAATACCACTTCAAAGCATTTCCTGTTAATTTACCTATGGAAATGACATGCAATACATCATCTGGAACACGGTACGTATTGCGTACGATTTCAATGCGGTTAAACCAATTTTCGACAGTCTCCTCATCACCACCTCCGAAGTTCGGTATTAAAGTACCAATTTCCGAGTTTTTAAATTTGTGTAAATTTGTTCGTTCGTTTGATACAACAGCTGATTGTAACCCGGCTTGCGATGGCTGTGACTGAGTAACGGCTCGAATGGTAGCTTCAATAACATCTTGCAATGTAATTTGCGATCCCCCTTCTAATGACACAGAATCCCCAGGCAAATTCGATAGATTCTCGTTGGACATGTTGGATATTACAATGTCAATCGGATCAAAAACGTGGTCTTCAAATAATCAAAGTTTATCTCACCAATCGTGTAACAAAACTTGAATCTTTCATGCTTTCATCCCACTTCTGACGCTGTAGGGGGTCCTGCTTACTAATACAATAATCAATAACAATATTCAATAATGTTTATTAAATAAAATGCGGGG